AATACTAGAGCTGTCAAAGATAAAACTGAATTCCTGAAAGACAGTAAGGAATGTGATCATTTAATTTCCCCAAAGAAAGTAAGGAAAGAAAGCAAACAGAACTCCTGAATGAAAGTAAAGAGTTCGATGAAATAGAATTCCTGAAAGATAGTAATGTATGTGATCATGTAAATTTTCCTAATGAGAGTAAGAAAAGAAAGCAAAATGATCTCCTGAATGATAGTAAGGAATCAAATATCCCGAATGAGAGTACGGAATGTAAAACAGCTGAACAGCCAAGTGAAATTGGAATTGATAAAAATCCAACTAAACTTGATTGCATTGACAACCAAAATAAGAATATTGAGGCAAGTAGAAGAAGTGAGAGGTTAAAAGCCAAGCCGCAAATAGACTACAATGCAATGAATGATTTAATATTAACCGCTTATACAGTTTTTAATGATGTCCCAAATACATTTGATGAAATCAAATATAGGAATGACAAATCACTTTGGGAGGAAGCTATAAAAGCAGAGTTGAGTGCCCACGAAATAAATAATACCTGGAGAATAACAAGGAAGCCAGAAAACAAAAATATTGTTGATAGTAAATGGGTATTTTCTGTAAAACATAATGAATTAGGAAAACCAATAAAATGCAAAGTAAGACTAGTTGCACGGGGTTTGAGTAAATACCAAGTAGATTATGAAGAAACATTTGCTCCTGTTGCTAGAATTTCAAGCTTTCCTTTCATATTATGATTAGCAGTACAATATAATTTGAGAGTTCATCAAATGGATGTAAAAACAGCTTTCTTGAATGGCACGTTGAATGAGGAAATATATATGCGACTTCCTCAAGGTGTTTCATGCAATGTTGAAAATGTATGTAAATTGAATAAAGCAATTTATGAGCTCAAACAAGCAGCTAGATGCTGGTTTGAAGTGTTTGAGCAAGCATTGAAAGAATGTAAGTTCGAAATGTAAGTGCAGTAGATCGCTGTATATATATCCTTGACAGAGGTGATATCAAGGAAAACATATATGTTTTGTTGTATGTTGATGATGTGGTCATAGCTACAGGGGACATGCAAAGAATGAATAGTTTTAAAAAGTATTTAATGGAAAAGTTTAGAATGACTGACTTAAAAGAAATACGACACTTCATTGGCATAAGAATTGAAGTGTATGACCATAAAATTTGTTTAAGCCAGGTTGCCTATATTAAAAGGGTTTTAAATAAATTTAATATGGATGACTGCAATGCAGTCAGTACCCCTTTACCAAATAAACTAAATTATGAGGCGCTAAACTCAGATGAAAACTCTAATGCGCCATGTCGTAACCTTATTGGTTGTTTTTTGTACGTAATGCTATGTACACGACCAGATTTAGCAACTGTAGTAAATATCTTAAGCAGATATTGCAGCAAAAATAATTCTGAGTTATGGCAATGTTTAAAAAGAGTTCTTAGATATTTGAAGGGAAGCATTGATATGAAATTGGTTTTTAAGAAGAAGGCAGAATTTGAAAATATATGGTTATGTAGATTCTGATTGGGGTGGTAATGAGATAGATAGGTAAAGTACAACGTGCTATTTATTTCAAATGTTTGGGTCAAATTTAATTTGTTGGAACACAAAAAAACAAAATTCAGTAGCAGCTTCATCAACTGAAGCTGAGTATATGGCCCTATTTGAAGCTGTAAGGGAAGCCCTATGGTTAAAATCTCTTTTAGTGTTAATATAAAGGTTGAAAGACCAATTAAAATTTACGAAGATAATCAAGGCTGTATCAGTATAGCGAATAACCCCTCATGTCATAAAAGGTCTAAACATATTGATATTAAATATCATTTTTCTAGAGAACAAGTGAAGAATAATTTTATTCGTCTTGAGTATATTTCTACAGAGTATCAACTTGCTGACATTTTTACAAAACCGTTGCCTGCTGCAAGATTTGTTGAACTGCGAGACAAGATGGGATTGCTTAAAGATGACTAATCCAGTTGTTCGTCGATGCTGAATATTATTTTTTTTCTTCGATTTGAAAGTTTGTCTAACAAATTTAAGAACTGATATAATTATATTTTTTTTACAAATTTTGGACTGATTTTTTTTTTTTTTTATTTATTTATTTTTTTTATTTTTTTTGATTAATTCAAAAATTAGTTTAAAAAAATTTGATGTGTCTTATTTTATTAAAAAAAAAAGAAAGTATTGTATCGTTAAGTTTTCAAAACTAAGTAACTAAAATTTTTAAAAACATTTAATTTTAAAAACATTTAATTTTAAGATATTGAAAAGTGATCTGATCGGGTTTTTCTCGGTTTTCCCCGTATCCACGCAGTAAATACTGGATCACATTATAGCTCCCAGAGTACGCACGAGCCACATTAGAATAAGCCAATGATAATAACTGATGAAAGATTATTTTGAGTTCTGTACTAATATAAATGTAATAATTATAAATGTTATTTTTGAGGGGGCGTGTTGAATACTACAAAAATATCACTTTACAACACTCCTTAAGTATTTGGTATTCTAAGACAAAACAAACCGTAATGCAACTCGATAAAATATTTTGTCTACTTCTTCCCTCCTTTTCGTTTCTTCTTAGTGTGTATGTGACGTCGTAGTGAAAATTCAAAGTAAATAAAACAATCTTTAAATCAATTAAATAAAGTGTTTTCTTTTGTGACTCTAAATTCCAATATTTGCTTTGTTACATATATGAAATCGAATAAATTTAATAGTAGAGATTTTACTACCTAATGCAAACTGAGCCGATTGGCTCCTTAGGTTATGTGGTTGTGCAAACAACCACTCCACTCGGTGACCTACTGGTCCATTGTGTTCATCCTATTTTAGAGAAGAAGAAGAATAAAATAAAAAAGGGAAGAAAACGAATAGTGAAGAAGAAGAAGCGCGAATATAGATAGGAATAAAGAAGGTAGTAGGTGTGTATTCACGGTGTAATCATCGTGTCGTCCTTAGCCATTTTAGTCTTCTGGCTAACTGAAGAATGACCGCTGGCTCGGTTTCGGAGAGGGAGGACAAGTCACTCCGATAAGAGTTGGGCAGTGGCAGAGTAAGCGCTCCACCGTCTCAGTTTCTGTTGAAATCTCCCAAGTCAATGTTTATGCAGTATTTGGAAGAAGTGCCATAAAGGTGGCTTCACTAATCTTTCAATCTCTAGATCTACCGACTCAGATCCGCGTCTGGCCAATTCATCAACCGATTCATTATCAAATATGTTGCAGTTTCCAGGGACCCAACAGGGTTTGACAAACCCTTAACTTTTCCAGAGCATTCCTGCAATCCAGAACTGCCATAGATTTGATTGTAAAAGAATTTATAGTCTTCGGGGCGCTTGACTATGGGCATATATAGTCACCGGTCCATCCAGCTCCGTCATTGTCCCAGTTTATTGAGTCGCAGGGCACACCTATCAGCTTGTTCCTCTACAAATAGACATTAGGGTTTTAAGTTTGGTGCGGATTGTCGTGCGCTCATAAACACGCCTGCAATTAGTAACGGTGCAACTTTTTGAGCTTTGTCAATGCTTTTAATGAAGGTAGCTTTCCCTAGAGAGTTACACAAAACTAGCCCGCCATAGCTTAGGATTGTCCGGACGATTGACTCATATAACCATTTGATTATATGAGGTTAAAGTCCCCAACTCTTTCCTATTGAGTTTTTACAGGAGTAACGTGCGATCTTCGCTCGTTCCTCGATATTCCTCTTCCAGTTTAATTTCTGTTGTAGGACGGTATCGATATACTTGACCGCCTCCTTGTAAAAAGTACGAGCTCGGTTTTAGACGGGTTTACGCCAATTACAGCGTACCCATCTGGAAAGTTTAACTAGAGCTCCCTGCATAAGGTCTGAAACAGTTTTCGGGAATTTCCCAGCAATCAACAAAACCAAATCGACAGCGATTTGTTCCGCTGTGTTCCAGCTCGATTTAAATGTCATTTATTACCAAAAGCCAAAGTAGTGCTGAAAGAACCCCTACTTGCGGAGTGCCCCTAATAACCGTTTTCCTAACAGAACGCTCTCCGATGCTTGAGTTGATGATTCTGCTGTAGAGCATCACATCAATCCACTAAACTAGGAGTGGTGGTATACTAAGTCTCGAGTTTGACATTGTTAAAGCCCCCCTCGATGTCGAGAAGGGCTGCCAAAGAGAAACATGAGTTATTCAGGCTCTTCTCTACTTAACCCATGACGTTGTGTTGCGCTGTCTCAACAGATTTGTCTCTCATATAAACATCATATATTAAACAACAACATATATTAAACAACAAATCACGCATTTGTCGATTTTTATCATTCATTGAATTTTGAACGCATTAAAATCAAAAGGGGTTGCGAATTAATTATGAAACAAGATCTTTAATCGTATTTGAAAACCAATACCCATACATATAAAATCAAAATGTGTAGCGTCGCGCATTGGGCTCGGCTAGTGGGGTATAAATTAAAAATATGAAAAATTAACAAAGCCATCTAAATTCAATATACACTTTTCTTTGAAACTTAGTATTGAAGCATTAAATAGCTTGAGAGAAAGAGGAAGCTGCATTTTTTAAATAAAAGAAAAATATCTTATCGTAGTAAAATTTTTACAATATTGCAAGTTCCGCAACATGGTCTATTCCAGATCTGCAAGAATGTAAAAGTTTACACCGATTTCCCCTTTGTGAAATGCTAAGCTAGTAGGGATGACACATATTTCATCGTTGTTCTGAGAGTGAGTTGAATGGAACAAACAACAAAAATCTTTGATCGCTCAGAAAATTTTGTGTGGGGAATCAAGTAGATATTTAATAATTAATGGTCAAACAACGAATAAAGATCAAATAATTTGCCATGTGAACTTAGCATTAGGATATATATTTTTTGTAGTTAATGCGACATCTGGATATTTGTGTATATATTAAACTGCATGATATAGCAATTACTTTAACATGGTTACTAATGTAGAACTATCTGGTACAAAACAAAAGTAGGTAACTATATTTGTTACGGCTAACTTCACTATCTTCCCTTTTACATCGTGTTTTTGAAACTGAAAGGTGGGTTTTTGGAGAGTGCTATCTTTTACAATATTAACTATATTAAGAAGTGTTCATTTATCAGCCTTGTTCTATAGTAAGTATGAGTAGGATTGCTAAGGAAATCGAAGGGACTCACTACTTAATTCGAAGAGTTTAATTAAGCAAAGTAATTTATATGCCTTAGTTTCTAATCTTATAGATAACATACAATGCCACAAAATGAATATATGGAACGCCACCGTAAGCTATATGGCCGACGGTTAGACTATGAAGAACGTAAGAGAAAGAGGGAGGCACGTTTGCCAAAAGAACGTGCCAGAAAGGCAAGAAAGTTGAGAGGCATCAAAGCAAAAATTTTCAATAAGGAGCGCAGAAATGAGAAAATACAAATTAAGAAGAAAATCCAATCTCACCAGGAGAAGAAAATTACTAAACAACTAAAGGATGTTGAAGAAGGCGCAATTCCCCACTACCTCATGGATAGAGGAACTCAGTCCAGCGCTAAAGTACTTTCAAATATGATCAAACAAAAAAGAAAAGAAAAATGTGGAAAGTGGGACGTTCCTATTCCAAAAATTCGTGCACAGTCCGATATGGAAGTGTTTAAAGTTCTAAAGACGGGAAAGTCGAAAAGAAAGTCTTGGAAGAGAATGGTAACAAAAGTAACATTTGTAGGTGAGAACTTTACGAGGAAGCCCCCAAAATTCGAACGGTTTGTAAGACCTATGGCTCTCCGTATGAAAACTGCCCATGTTACGCACCCCGAATTAAAGGCAACATTTCAGTTACCTATAATTGGTGTCAAGAAGAATCCAAGTTCTCCTATGTACACATCTCTAGGAGTTGTCACAAAAGGAACCGTACTTGAAGTTAATATATCGGAGCTGGGATTAGTGACTCAAAGTGGAAAGGTTGTTTGGGGAAAGTATGCGCAAGTGACAAATAATCCCGAGAACGATGGGGTGATCAATGCTGTTCTTTTGGTTTAAGATTTCCCGTAGCATATACTCAGACTTCAAGTTTGAAGTAAATAAACAAATAATTAAACCAATTTGCAAACTGTTTTTTTTTTCTTTGCATAGTTGGTTTATAAGTTGGCCCAAGACATAAAATATGTTTATTTAATTAGTGCAATCTCTTCTCTTCCAGGCCTAAAAGCACGACAAGATGCAGATATTTGTTAAGACCCTTACGGGCAAGACTATAACCCTAGAGGTTGAGCCATCTGACACTATCGAAAATGTCAAAGCCAAGATTCAGGACAAAGAGGGAATTCCACCGGATCAACAACGATTAATTTTTGCCGGAAAACAATTGGAAGATGGCCGAACATTGTCTGATTATAATATTCAGAAGGAGTCTACTTTGCATTTGGTCCTGCGTTTACGTGGAGGTGCCAAAAAACGCAAGAAGAAGAATTACTCAACTCCCAAAAAAATGAAGCATAAGCGGAAGAAGGTCAAGCTTGCAGTCCTTAAATACTATAAGGTATATAAAACATGACCTGTGAGATGAATTCACAAAAAGTCTATAAAAGCGCTGGTGGAATTCTTGAGTCTTGTAGATCTTGCTCACTGCAGACAAATATTTCCTTATACACATTTTCAATTTGATATATTGTACTGCATATTTATCTCCTTGAAGTCAAAAAACGTAAATAATTAACGTCTTATTTTCTGTTTTAGGTCGATGAGAACGGTAAGATTCACCGCCTTCGCCGCGAATGTCCTGGTGAAAATTGCGGTGCTGGTGTTTTCATGGCAGCACATGAAGATCGACACTATTGCGGCAAATGTAATTTAACATTTGTGTTCACTAAGCCAGAAGAAAAGTAATAGAATAAAATGCAGACTAACTGGTAAACTTGTGTTTCCTGGAGAAATATAAAGTTGTTTTACTTTAGTTGTACATATCAGTAATCTGTTTTATTTTGAGGAGCAAATTGGATATAGAAACTTCATTTGAATAGAACTAGAGAGTAGCGATCAGTGGCGTTTTTGTTACTGTTCGCAAGTTCAATTAGATTTAGTAATCGGTAATTGCGGGACAATGTCGTATTGTATGGTTTATGAATAATGAACCTGGTGCAGTTAAATATTTATCTTACAAGGCCTATATAACGTGAGCCAAGAGGACTGCTTTTCACAATAAACTTAGTAGTTTATGATTCATTATCCCAACTAGATCGCATCGGTATCGTGAAATGATAGCCAGTTTTTCATGTCTAGAACTAAAATGATTGTGGAAGCCATGTATTTTTAACAAGACGGCGGTACATGTCACAGCCAGGTAAACAATTGTTGCATCAGTAATTTCGCGTTTTGAAGATCAGAATTGGTCACCTAGATAGTGCGATTAAATACCTTTAGATTTTTTGAAGTCGATGGTTTACGGGAATACAACCAAGACTCAAGCCTTACAAGAGGATATTGAACCATGATTTTGTGAAAAAGCGCAGTATTTATGCAAGACTGTCATTAAAAGATCGTGTGCGCATGCCAGCAAAGTCTTGGCGTCCATCTGCGTGTTATCTTGGTCCATACACAACCTCATTCTGTCTTCCCTACGATATAATTAAGTTACACGATTTGTCTTTAAATATCTGGTTGGGACAGCAGATAAATCCAACGTGTTGTGTTTTCATTTTTTCTTGCGTTCGCACTCAGGTACAGATCATAACCCATCTATAAGGTCCCCCCATGTTATTGCGCCATGTGTTCGAGAAATAAAAAAAAACAAGTAAAAAAGCAAGAAAGTTCGGTCCGGTCGAACTTTTCATGCCCTCCACCATTTGGAAGGAACTTGAGAAAATTCAAAAAAAAAAAAAAAAATCCGAATACTACCACTTAAATGAACATTGAACAAACTACATAGGCTGTAGTAATCATTACGAACTTTAAATATGAAATTTGAAACGATTCCGGTGAATAATGTCGCTGAAATCATCAAAATACCGAATATCGGGAGGTACTGTTATATGGGGGCTATATGAAGAATTGGAATTGCATACAAAATATTTTGTTATAGGCTGAAGTATCTATTACGAAATTTAAATATGGATTTTGAAATAATTCCGGTAAATAAATAATGAAAATACCGAATATCGAGAGGTACCTTTATATGGGGACTATACGAAAACGTGGACCAACATAGCCCATTTACGAACTTAAACTGCCCACTGATAAACTATGCATATATACAAAATCTTAGTCTTTTATCTCAATTTATTCGAAAGATATCGTGATTACAACAGGCAGACGGACATCGCTAGATCGTCTTAGAAATTTGCTCTGATCCAGAATATCTATATACTTTGTAGAGTATGTTTTGAATATTTGAAGGAGTTACAAACGGAATGACAAAATTAATATACCCTGCATAGAATGGGGGAGGGTATACAATAAAGATATACAGGCATGTCACGGGAATGAATTCGGTACGAAAGTGATTTTAATTTAGCTTCTTCAGAAATGTAAATCGCAAAAATTTGTCGATCTGAAACCACTTTTGTTTTTGCAAGTTAAATTGTATTTTTGTGGAAACTTGTGCCTTAAAAACACTCAAAATATATATATATATATATATATATATACAGTTCACATCAAATAAATTTGTCCCAGATAGCAATAAACACATATAAAAAATCAATATAGAGACAACCAAATTTATATGTTAAATTAAGTGAGAAGTTTTAACTTGAATAAATTGTTAGAATGAGAGAAAACACGTAGCTCTATTGGTAAAACATTCCAGTTACGCGCAACTCGAACCAGAAATGATCGACCGAATAAGTTTCTCCATATTCTAGGAATAAATATTTGCTGATTCCTGGAAAATACTGATACTGGCTTTGAATTTTTTATAATTTCATGAAATAGAGACCGAAAATTTACATATTTATTGAATGTACATCCAAGAAATCTCATGACATAGCTCGAAACATGATTTCTAATAGGAACCTTATAAACGAACCGTGCTATAGAATTGACAAGCCGCTTTAACTTATTTAAATGAAACCCCAGAGTACCTGTAACAATTTCAAACCCATTAGCAAAATATGACCAAATTTATACTTGATGTGGAAGGGTAAATATAAATTGCAACAATAAATTTTACGTAATAAAGAAACAATTTTACCATATAAAGCGTCAATGTGGTGTCTAAAAGATAGTTCAGTGTCAATTACTATCCCGAGACATGCTTGCCAACATTTGCTTTCTCGCGAACTCTGTCCGTAAGCTTTAAAAGTAAATGCGTTGTGCTGTGTCCAGACCTAAAGGCATATTGTGAGTTGCAGATCATGTTTGAAGAGTATTGAATTATTTGTTTTTTAATAATATGTTCAACAAGTTTAGAAAAAGACGGTAGAATAGAAATTGGTCGAAAGTCTTCGCGCCCACTAACATTTTTGGTTTTCGGAATTGGTACAACACGACCTATTTTCCAAGCTTGAGGAAATGATGATGTCATTGAAATGTTGTTAACTAAATCTATTATAACATTTGACACGTAAGGAAAAACTATTTTAATGAATGAAATTGGAATAAATCAATTCTTACAGATTTTGACTTTTCCTTATACAATGCTTCAATAACATAAATTTCATTCACACGTGAAAAGGAAAACTGATTGGCGGAATCCAAAAAGTTCTCAACACGAACCATCCAATCACAATCACCAACAAAATAAGCATTAATACATTCGGGTCAAAATCAAATTCACTATTATTGCTACCAACACACACGGACTTCCTTAAAATTCTCCACATGCCAGATGTATCTACACCGTTAAACAATTTCGAAAAGTGTTTTCTGCGCACTCTTCTCATGACATTTCTTGCCTTATTACGATAACGGCAATACGTTCTCCAATTTTGGTCAGATTTGTCATCCTGAAATACGGAGAACGACAAATCTCTTATAGACCTAGCGAATCGAACTTCCCTTGCCATAATCCACTGCTCATCGGAAGACTTAATAGTTTTCCTTACAATGGGTACATACTCATATAGTCTATTTAACATGTTAGAAATGTGAAAACATTTCAGATCAGCATTTACAGCATTGAAAACATTACCTAAGTCATATTTATCCAAGAAAGAAAACATGCCTGTCCAATCAATCATATCGTAATTACGATACTCCACAATTACATCTTGGCGTTTATAGCTAAAAGAAAAAGAGGCAAATATTAAAGAATGATCTGAAATTGTGGGACTTTGTACTTGATCAGAGAATTTAAAGGAAGATAAATAAGTACATAATATAAAATCGATTAGAGACGTAGTTCTTCTTCTCAAGTCCAAATGCGTTGGCTTAGAATTATGAACAATGGAAAGAAGAAATATACAATTAAATTTACATTTTTTATATTTTTATTTAAAATAATAAGCAAATTTTAATGGTTTCTCAATTGACGAGTTTTCAACTTTTCTTAAACACGTTTTTCGTCAAACAAAAATTATTCATCTGTGAAAACCAAACTATGTGGTATTACAAATAATAAAATGAAGCAAAGAGAAAAAACAAAACAAACAGAAAAGAAACTAAAAAAAAAGAATTTTGTACAAAAACGTAATAATTTTAACATTTGAACATGTGAAACTAGAAGGGCCTAGACCGCGTTGCCGGTCTGTAGTTTTAGTCTTTAACGCAAAGTTTTTAAAGCATAGTAATTAACACATCTGGCTTACATAAGTGGCACAATTTTTACTATAAATGATGACTCGACTAAAGAGAAATAAATATGCATTTCAAAAATGTCAATATAGGTTCACGTACCGGGCGATTCATAGTGTTTCAAAAAACCTGATCCTATTTTCCAGCCAGAGGTTTTAATTTGAGAGTCGAAAAACCCAAATAATATAGCACATTTATTAACCAGTATACATCAACGGTTTATAATAGTCCCATGTAGGATGGTTCTCTGCCAAAGTAGCCTAAACACACATTTTAAGCCAAATCGATTCGAAAATATAACCAAAACCCTCGAAATAGGTAAAACCAGGAGGAACCTTTATATGGTCGCTATTCCACAACATTGATATTGAAAATTTTCCGCGGAGAGGTGACCTAGAATGTTACCAGGACGCTGGAAATATTTATTTTATTTAATTAGCGGATGCCTTCATATAAGGGTTATACCAAAGCTTGGTCCTATACTTATAATTATTTGAAAGAATGTTTTGTTCTTTCTAAAATCTCAAATAACCAACATTTAAGGAATTAAAAAAGGGCTATAGCACAATGCAGACCAACCTGAAACATATTTTGTACAAATGATTCTTTATCTAACCCATAAGATTGCATCAAATTTAAAACTCTATCTTAAATTTTGCGGAGTATAGAGGAAAATATTTGAGGCCCTTTGTGTATGTTAAAGCTATATAAAATGGACCCTAAAAAAGTTTGACCCGGAAACCCCCCCCCCCCTTTTGGGATTTTAATCTACCAACCGAAAAATTTCCCATCGTCAGTAATTATACTGCGCCCTAGACAATCGTGAGTCTAGGGCGCAGTATAATTACTGACGATACCCCCGTATGACGTTACCTATAAGTTAAGGTTACGGGTTCGTTTAAGGGTTCGGAAGAATTTTCAGATTATATAAATCTTTTTCTTACTAAATTTTCAATTTGCTCCACTATTTTGTACACTACGCATATTACATTGCCTCTTCATATTCAGTAGTTCATTTTTAAATATAGATCTAAAAAAGTGGGTGTGGGCAGCTCCTCTGACCCACACAGATACCTAGGCTTGGAGGGAGAGTCAATATTACATTGTATACTAACTGTGGAACAAATATCTTCATTATTTTGGCAAACAGGATTTTGGGTAAATCGAAAAATGGACGTAAAATTGGGCGTGGTCACTTTTCCTTGCATAAAAACCTAACTCGTGGTAGGACGAACAT